ACCGCCCGGCCTGCCCCGCACCGCCCGGCCTGCCCCAGGCCCCGCCTCCCCATCCCTCCCAGTGGCCCCGACCCCATCCAAGCCCGGGCCCACCGTGCCAAGCGTCCCCCAGGGCTTCTCCTAGGCCCCCCCGACCTCTCCAATCCCCAGATCCAGCCCTCAGCCACCCCCAGCACCTGGGGAGCCATGGCTGACCCAGGGGGGGTTTCCATCCCAGTCCTCACCAGGACCATCCAGGTGAAGCCCATCAGCCACAGGCTCCCAAGGACCCCGTCTGGCCCGCCGCCCCCCATGTCACCCTGCTGCCGCGGCATCACCCCGCAGTGCCCGGGGCTTAGGGGGTGGCTCCTGCTCTCAGCACTGGGGATCCCAGAATCGCGTCCCGTGGCACTGTCCCCTGCGGGCCACTCTCCACAAACCCCTTCCATCCTATACCCCAGTACCCTCTGCCAGACAGGGGTGAAGGCAGCAGACATGCACTGCACTGTCTTTGGACCTGCAGGGAGGCCCTCCCTTCCCAAGAAGCCCCCACTCCTGCATGGGGACACAGTCCTTCCCCAAGCAGGACGAGGAGCCCAGCCCACCCTGCCTGACCAAGGGGTTCCCCCGCCATTGAGGACAAGTGCTGTAGGCACTGTGTGGGAGATCCCAGGGGACCTGGAGGAACCATGATAGCAGTCCCTGAAATAGGTGAGGAGAGTGACAGCAAGAGAAGGTACGTGCCATCCCTCACCTTTGGAGGTAAGACCGGCAGCATCTGGTCCTTAGTGCTTGCACAAGCACTCAGCAAGCTTGACTGCATCATTAGCTTCTTTAAGCAAATCTTCCAACAGATTCTGTGTGCCTTCATAATCAATATGTAACCATTTAAACTTAAGCTTCTTGAACATGTCCAGCACAAGGTCGTCCAGTACTTCCAAAAGGATGTCCCAGGAATTCACCTCTCCTGCTGTCACATGATGGAAAAAATACACTGGAAAAAGGCAAGACTTTAAAAATAAATTCTCTCCCAAGACTGCAGTGCTTCTTTGAGCCTTTTCCTGCAGCTCCAGCCTCAGTCAAAGGGCTGACATACGGCGTCAGGCTGTGATGGAGCTGCAGCAGCACACACCCACATGCCACACACACAAACCAGAGAGAGGAGCCACGAGGCACCAAGAACCCTCTGGGCCCTCCTGCAGAGACAGGCACTGTGGCAGGGCTGGGGCTGTACCCTCCACATTTCTGGAGACTGTGCTCAGCCCAGGAGTAGCAGTGAGCCTCTAAGACCCTTACACATAGCATCTTTCCCAGCCCAGGAGCGGCAGCAGTGCTCAGGGACCCTTGCACATAGCAGCATGTCAATCAGCCCGAAGAGCGGCGCGGATCCGGGGCGTGGGCAGTGTGCCCATAGCACCATGCTTAGTGGTGGCCCAGTCGAGCAGCAGCATTCCCGCTGATGGCACACCAGCAAGACCCTGGGGTGCAGGCACACAGGTGTGTGCTCAACCAGTGCCCTGGTGGAGCTCCATGGAGCTGTGGCTCCATCCCAGGAGACTGAAACCCTCAGACAAAGCAGCATTCCTATCTCTGGGGTGGGCACTGGGGATGCTGGCTCACAGCAGTGTGCCCAGACACACTGCACCAGAGGGTCTTGGGATGCACGCCCTCAGCTGCATTCTTTTCCATCATGGGTGCTCCAACAGGATGCAGAGCCCTCATATACAGAAGCTCTCCCACCCCTGCCAGACAGGATGGCTCAGGGACCTTGCATAGCATTTTTCTCAACAACACTGCAACGGTCACAGAAAACCTCGTACATAGCAGTGATCCCATCAGCATGAGGCCAGTGGTGACCAAGGACCTGGGGACCGGCTTGTGCATATGATTGTGATGTCACTTGTGGCTGAGTAGCTCACAGGGCAGGGGCAGAACCTGCCTTGTGCTGGTGCTTATGATGTCACTGGTGCGTAAGTAGCTAACAGGGCAGGAGCAGGCCCCTGGCTTGTGTCATGCTTTTGGGGTCACTGATGGCCGAGTAGCTGTTAGAGCAGGAGCAGGCACCTGGCTTTTGTAGGTGCTTGCGGGTTCACTGGTGGCTGCGTAGCTTTGCAGGTTGGGAGAATGGTTGCGCCTCTGGTTCCAGCCTGGCCGCTTCTGCCGGTGCAGCAACGGTGCAGGAATCCCATTTCTGATACCAATGTTTGGGGAAGTTTTATTGTGCCTCTTGCAGTGAATTAAACACACTTTTGTGCTTAAGTGCAGAAAGATTTAACGAACAATGCATTGGACAGAGTCCTACTGCCTTGAGATGTTCTACAGGAACAAATCTGCCTTAAAGATACTTGTGCGTGTGTCTCAGCACATATAATGAGAGAAAGGCCTAATGAATGCAAAAAATGTACTGCTTTTCTCAAGTTGGTTGCTTTGGGCAGTATGCCCACTGATCCCTTGTGGTGGTGGCACTTCGAGCACCTCTTGGGTCAAAGCTTATCCTAAAAGGTGATGGAACAACTCATTCTGGGTGTCCGCTCCAAGCAAGTAGATGAAAAGAAAATCATCAGGAGTACCCAGCATGGATTCACCAAGGGGAAATCATGCCTGACTAATCTGATAGCCTTCTACGATGGCATGACCAGCTGGGTAGACGAGGGGAGAGCGGTGGATGTTGTCTACCTTGACTTCAGCAAGGCTTTTGACACTGTCTCCCATAACATCCTCATAGGGAAGCTCAAGAAGTGTGGGTTGGATGAGTGGACAGTGAGGTGGATTAAGAACTGGCTGAATGACAGGGCTCAGAGGGTTCTGATCGGCGGGGCAGAGTCCAATTGGAGGCCAGTAGCTAGTGGAGTTCCCCAGGGCTCAGTTCTCGGCCCGGTCTTGTTCAACTTGTTCATCAATGACCTGGACAAGGGGACAGAGTGTACCATCAGCAAGTTCGCTGATGACACAAAACTGGAAGGACTAGCTGATACGCCGGAAGGCTGCACTGCCGTTCAGCGGGACCTGGACAGGCTGGGGAGGTGGGCGGGGGGGGAACCGGTGAAAA